TACCTTATGTATTGGTAAGCTCCAGAAAGAGATTGCATAGATCAAATATGTACTCAATCACTTCCACGATGCCACGAATGGAATTGAATGCATCACGACGAATCGCTAAGTAATTGATCAACGCAGAATAGATATGGTAATGAAGAAGTAGTGAAGTACACGTAATAAATGTTTTGATCTGTGCTGGCTGAGATAACCTGCGTGGCGTTAACTGACGGTACGAATAAATTAAAAAGATGAAAGAGAAATTTGAAAAAAAGCGGAGCAGAGCGAGGTGGGAAAAAAGTGATGAAGAGGTGGGAACTGGTAAAAAGAGGTGAAAAAGTGAGCGCTGCCTGAAAACAACGATGAAATTCAAAGCAGTTAAAAAACGAGAAGGTCGTGACGTCCTGTAAAAGTCACGAACAGATAGAACACAAACACATTTTTCGAACTACTATAACAAGATTACTGCTGTTCTTATTGAAATCATTAGATCAGTCATTATCACTGGATTTGAAATAACAAACGCTAAGAAGTGAAGAAGGTAGAATGGTAGAATGACCAGCGGATTATTTAGGACCGAATTGCACCTAAAAGTAGCAAAAACTACCAACAATGACAGTATGACTGACATGGTAGTCATAAAGAGTATATCTAAAATGACAAATGAACTATTGTTAGTCATGCCATTACCGTAATCCTCTAAAATGGAAACGAGCATAGAAAAACACTTGTCTGTGACCAGTGAAGAAATAACTGTGGTGGCAATTATCTGTGACTGCTAACTTGACAAATTTCTGGTTGGAACAGTTCAGGAATGTTGTCATAATTTGCTCAAGAAACACGACCGATTAGCAGAGGTCCTTCTCCAAAATGCAAAAATACCAAAAAAAAAGATACACTCTTATTCAATGCCAGCATTGGACTTACAATGAACAAATGTTGATGAACTATTTCTTTTCATAGGATTACGGTGTTTGTGAGAGCATCAGTTACACCTTTCAATGAATGAGGTGATTCTTTGGTAGGCCCTCGCAAGCTCTAACAACAAGTAATGGACTAAGGCTACAACTATTCGGTTAAATACATTTTAAAATCTGAGCTAAGCTACCCAACCCTTTCACGACTATCCGCAATGATTTCAATTTGTACGCCGTGGCACCTTTCGGACCGCGCATCTTGATTCCAATGGGCACGCTTTTTCAGCCTTTTCTTTAGTGCACAGAGCTTTTTGCCAGACTTTTCGTAGTTAATCGGTGTCTTCTCAAAACGGAATTAGTACCGGAGGTAGTCCATCCATAGCTATTCTTATAGCGCTGTACTAGCGGAAAATATACTACGCTATGCTTCCGGACGTGTTAGCACATGCGCTTAAATTCCATAGTGGGCCTCTTGGTCCTTATACAGTAAAGCTTAAAGATCAGGGACACTTTATCAAAGCAAATAAGTGGAATGTTACCCAGTACACTTCTATAAACGTATTGATTTACAGAGGATCCACGCGTCCTTAGGCATTTATCAGCGGGCAAAACACAACCTTGAAAAAAAGATTCCCAGCTCTTATTACACTTTTTATCGCCTCTATTGTAAACGCCTAACTCAAAGACATTTATTTTACAATATGAGAGTTTTAGAAGAAGCTTATACATGTAGGTATCTGTAGTGTGCCAAGAGTAAGGGTAGAGAGAGTGCGAATTCATCATAGTGTAGAGTACTTTTTAGGAAATAATGCATATCACTAACCCATATTTCCACGGTGTCTTACTGATTATTGCTTCAATAATCACCAACTTATACAACCAGCACCTGTTAACATTTAACCCCTTGCAAACAGCACCGGCCAACAATTCACTTTACTAGTATAGAACTTGTACCTCTTACATATAGTCAATACTTAGCACCCCTATAATAATCAATTTGTGCTTCTCAATCCTTAATATAACAATATACAATATGAAATCCCTATCTATAATATTAAGTCGGATGTCTACAGCGCATAAATGGATCGAATTTCTGATGAACAGCATTAAAACAACGTCTAACCTTCTATCTACTACCTGTTACAATTTTTCACGGCAGAGTATGATGTGAAATACAGCCACTATTAATCTGGGAGATTGGCAAAACTCGGACGCCAAGCCAGATTGGAACCCTTGCTTACCATTTCCGGGGCTCACGTGTTTTCCACTGCACCAGTGAGGTTCTTGCCTTGCTTCCACTCTACCAGCTTTTTAACCCAATGGTGCCATAAGCAAAAGTGGGGCATCAGTGGTGCAGTGCATAACACGTGAACCCCTGGACAGGGTAATTCCGGGTTGAAATCTCGCTGGGGTCCAAGTTTTCCAAATATCTCAGCATCATAGTGGCTGTATTAAAACAGGTTGAACAAACATGTTTCTTACATGAGCTGCACTTAGCGGGCACTTGCCTGGCATTCCTTATAGCATTTCTAGAATCGTCAAAGAATATGGTTCTGGGTGACACTACTAAGCTCGACCACTCACCTGTTACCCCATCAACGAAAAATATTGTTCTTCTTCCTCTTAAGTGAGAGTATAAACACCATCTGCAACGAGTGAATATGTTTCCTCGTTGTCTTCTGCATCGACCAGGTTTCGCCTAAGTTTAGCGCTGTGATTATTGAGAATTTGACTTTAGATTTCAATTATTCATGATATCCTCCCAACGGCTTACCGCCTCACCGTGGCTATTCCTGAGTGTCGGGATGCGATGTACAACGAGAGAATTTATCCCTCCAGTAGGATCTCCGAAGCTTTGAAGGAGTCCGCCGTTTCCATCAGGAAGGTCAGAGTAAACCAATGCCAGGATCCAGGTCTTCGTCTTCCTCAGAGCTTCGTCTTCCTCGACATCTTTATACATATATAGATAAAAAGGGCATCACTGAGTAAGGATGCCTCATTCGAGGAGATGGCTCACTGAAGAAGACCTAACTCGACACGAAGGCGAAGCTGCCACGTCGAGGCGAATAACAAGCGAGGACCATCGACTCGGATCATCGGCTCTGAGGAAGACGAAGACGTCGAAACGTTAGCCGAAAATAAACATCATTATCAACCTCATGTAAGCTCATCAAAGAAAGAATACATATTGATTAGTGATACCGAGGTTCAGGGAAAGTCGGCTTCGAAATATTCTTTGTACAGGTTACACAAGTTCCTTAAATACTGACAACACCATGCGAGATGGTGGACGAGTTTTCTTTCACCATATATAAGGGTTATATATGGTCCAAGAGCATGATAGCATAAGCAGAAGATCATAACGGATACGTCGAAGCTAATGAGATGCGAAACATACGTGAGAGAACCGAATAACAGAACGACAGTTACAAAAAACATGTTCGCCGTGTCCCTTGCCCAGAAACACGGACGGTACATCTTCGTTTCAATGCGCATTTTGGTCGCATTCCAAAGACACACGGACGAACCCGACTGCGCCAATGACAAACGGTTGTGAAAGGACTGAACAACTAAGAATTGACTACAGAAAACAATAACTAAACGACAACTGAAACAACTTGAAATTGTTTTAAACAACTAAGAACCTACTCCAAAGTGGTGCTATGTAATCCAAAGAGTTCGCCAAGATTTGTCCCTTAGTGCTACTTTTACAGGATCCTATAATGCAAAACCTATAATTTAGGGGATCAAATTATCTGTAGTAAAGTTCATTGCGGGAAATTTAAACGGCCAAACGCCTTTTACCATATATGAGTCGCATACGGTTCATATTACCGCAAGGAGTTGATTAGGTCATTCAGTGCGGATAATGACTTTGTGCAAATCATCATAATCTTATTCGAACCATAATCAGCCTGCTCATATACAAAATTGTAACATTAATTCCATTTATGTTACAACAATTCGAAAGTACGTATATAACGTGTGAGCAGGCGGATGATAGCACTGTGGTAGCGATCTCCGTGATCACGAGCATGGCACTAGTTTTATTCCGTCTTGAGCCAACCAAGCTTCTCATCCCTCCGGGGTCAGCAAATTGGTATCGAATTTATCTGGGGAAGAAAATCACACTCTTCAATCTAATTGGGAACGCTTCGGCCCGCCTATCTCGAGACTCTAGGGAGAACTGCTCGACCAGCATTCTACGACGTCCAAGATGAAATGAAAATCCTCAAGGTTGGAAGTTACTCCAATGAATCGATGTTCATGGACAAACTCGTGTTGACGATAACGCCAACGCCGCCGACTCCTCTACTGTCGCATGTTCCGAGGAACAGTTCTTCTCCGATTACATAGATGGCGTTGAAAGGCCGGCGTCTTCTCGTCTCGGCCAGGCCGATGTCATCGTACCTTATCCTTCTTGTTTGCACGAGCAAGTCTTCTATCGAGGACTCGGGTGCAAGTGTATGCATCGTAGGGACAGATTGTCACCACAGTTCTTTGAAATACAGGCAGCTTCCATTGGCCCTAATATTTTAGCATCCTCTTCGTACTCGTCCTACCCAACGCTACGAAATTGGCGGCTCTTTCGGGGTCAGGGGAATAAGGCCCTTGTTTTTACTGTGTTTAGCACTTAGCACGGACGCGCCACCTAGCCTCGCGACTAACCGGCTCGAGATTCCTCATGTGAAGGAGATCCGTGGCAAACTAGTCGTATGGTAGCAAATCTCCATCTGATCCACAAGGGCAGCGACTGCCTGTGGTGGTGACGACCTGGGGCAGACCGTGGCTAGACTGACCTCGGGACTCCAGGGAACCATAATTGCTAAACCAGTAAAACTCCGAAAAAACGGAAATTGTACCGGAGCCCAGCACAACCAGCGAAGATGAGCCGTCCAAGTATCCAAGTATAACCATTTGCATCGGTTAACGTGCTCCAATAGAGAGTTATACCAACATTTTTCATTTCTAGGCGTATAACAACTGTAGAAACATTTGTGCTCTCGTTGTCGTCGTTAAAGTGTTTATATGACCTTAATTGCTCAGGAAAATAGTTTTTATCACTTTTTTCTTTCGGAGAAGCAACCCTCGTTTCTGATGGCATCGTCGTTCACTCGAGCTGAACGGTCTGGAAATATTTTCTATCGTGTTACGGGACTCATTCGTTCAGGACAAATGTCATGGGCAGATCGGCCATTATGGTGAGTTTAATTCATACTATTTTTTGAATTGGTACATAAAACTGCAAAGTGTACTGCTTAATGTCTTCGATATACTTGGCTACCTGGACGGCCCGTCTTCACTGGTTTTTACGGGCCCCAGCATAATTTTATTTTTTGGAGTTATTCTGGTTTAGCCATTGTGTTTCCCTGGTGTTACGAAGTCGGCCAAGCCAAAGTCTGCCCCAGGTCGTCACCAACATAGGCAGTCGCATCCCTTGTAGACCAGAAAGAGATTTCCCACCATACGACCGATTTGGTACCAGGACCGTGGTGAATCTTGGTATTGGTTTGATTTTCGCTGGGCTTCCTGATGGAGTCGATATATAATTTGAAAAATTACTTTCGATCTTTATAAGAATTAACTTGTTTGATACATAATTTTCTAAACGAATGAATAAGACAACATCCAGGTACGATGTCTATATCGCACATCCTCCTTTACAGGCTCATGATTGGAATGTAAAACATGCGAAACACGACGAGCCAGTGAGTGATTTTTCTCCTATGATTCTTGTTTGTTTGCTAGTTTTGTATCCTTCGCAACGGTTTACCATCCCATCTTGACTGGGAGGTGTTCCTGGGGTCGGGCTGCGATGTACAACGGTGACATTCATCTCAAACCGGGGCCTTCCAAGCTGAGGAGCCCGGTGTTTCCATCAAGAAGCCCAGCTAGTAGTAAACCATCACCAGGTTTCACAGTCGTTGTGGCATCAAACTAGTCGCGTGGTGGCAAATCTACTTCTGATCTGTAAGGGCTGCGACTGCCTGCGCTGGTGACGACCCGGGGCAAACTTTAGCTGGGCTGACGTCTGAACTTCTGGGAATCACAGTAGCTAACTCAGAAAAACTTTGAAAAAATGGAAATTATAGTGGGGCTCGCTCAACCATTGAAGACGGGCTATCTAAGTATCCAAGAAGTTTTATATCAAGCCCTGTGTGGAAAACCGAAGGTGTTTTCGTTAATTTGGTTCGGTATTTCTTATATTGACTTAAATAACTAGATTCTATGACTAAATAATGTGGTGAGTGTTATCCATTGGTGTCTCTGGTTCCAGTTCTCCTTTTTAAATTTGTTGCTATATTTCAGGTACGGAAAATTTTCTATGAAGAGGACAAGGTTCGGGCTGCTTTTTACAAAAAATATCGTGGTGGTATCATAAATATGAGCAGTCCACAAGAGAGTCTGTCTCAACAATTTATCAGGGAATACGATATCGTAAAAATTGAACAGAAAGGTAACTACATCCTTGATTTTTATCGTGTGGTGTTCATTTTTTCTTCCAATGTTTCTGAAATTCCTCAAATGGCTGACCGCCTAATCGTAACTAGGGGTTACTGCCGGGTGTGGAGCCCGGAAACATAGCAGAAATTTATCTACTAGAAAGTTCTCCTAGGTTTCGAATTTCTTAGGTATTGCTAATGAACGTCGTCTTGGTATCAGCTTTGTTCAAAAGTAATGAATTTCCCTATGGTTCAACACAGCTGAATGTTTTTTGTGAAGACGACATTAGAAAGTCATGCGGAGATTTGGAAACTCGTGCACTAGGAAATTTTACCCAATTAGCAATTTTCTAGCTGGAAGCTCTCTAGGACCCAAGGCGAAAAACAGCTGGAGATTATCGCGAGTTTTGATGAGTTGTCAACAATGCCGACATTTTGCTACTTATTGACTGAAACGGAGTGTACCTTAAGATCCATCTAGTCCCAAAGAGCGGACTGTTAAGAACATGGTACCGTTCAGTTTTTGCAATGTATGATTGAGAACTTTTAGATAAAGGTGATGTAACGGACGATGAAATCTTCCGGAGGACAGAGGAAAGGTTAGCAGAAGTTGGAGTAAATTTGAAATAGTAATAATTTAGGATAGTGGATTTAATGCAATTGTTGTGTTAATATAAACAATAAAGATATTGTTAATAAATAAAGGTATTGTTGGTAACATTTCTCTATATTTATGCGTATTTCGCTTTATTACCATCCATGAATCCTAACATAGGAGAAGCCTTTTTTCTAGTTTTCTAGTTAACGTGGGCTTCAGGGTTACCGTGGAAGTGCTAAACACTCTTCTAACATCTGGAATAACTATGAAACAGCTTACTGCGAAAGAAGTGAGTTCGGCCGATTTTCATACACAAAATTGTTCTTCGATCTACGCTTCTTAAGAGGACGCGTGTAGCGCAGTGGTCGGAGGTGTCATGCAATATACATGGGACCGATTCTCGTGCCCCAGGCTCACCAGGCTGTCCATCCCTGCGGGGTCGGAAAATTGGCACCAGACTTGTCTGGGAGGGTAGCAGCACTGTCTCGATGCATCGGTAAACCACCTCGAGTCGTTGTAAAGACCAGATATGCATTCATTCACCTCCAGGTATGCTTAATGAAATCGAATGCATGGCGCATTCCTCAAGAATTGATCACCGCCGAGAGCTGTATCCTTTATTCTTCTCTACGCTTTCTTAAGGTGCGATCGACATTCATCGATTTTTTTAAACAAAAGTCGCATTCCTATGTGCACTCCTCGTCTGTGATTCCACACGATGATCCAACACTGCTGTTTGCCAACGCTGGAATGAATCAGGTTTCTGTTTGCTCTTCTCTATGTTGCAGTAGCAATTAGTCTTAGCTTTAACTGCACCAGTGTGCTGGGTACTCATGTTTTGTTGGAAATGCTCTGTGATACTTTAGTTCAAACCACTGTTTTTGGGCATTGCTGACCCAAATAGTGACTTGGCCAAGCTTAAACGTGCGGTTAATACACAAAAGTGTATTCGTGCCGGTGGAAAACACAATGATCTGGACGACGTTGGGAAGGACATTTATCACCACACATTCTTTGAAATGCTTGGAAACTGGTCTTTTGGTGATTACTTCAAGGTAACACGTGATAGTGCCATTATTAGAAAGTTTACTCGCTTTTTGATTTTAATCTCTATGGAACTCGGAAATGGGTGGTTTGCAATAGGTCTTTTTTTACAGAAAGAAGTTATTACCTGGGCGTGGGAACTATTGACTAAAGTCTATGGAATACCAGAGCATCGTCTTTACGTATCTTACTTCGGTGGAGATGAAAAAGCTGGTGTTTCAGCTGATAATGAAGCAAGAAACATATGGCTTAGTCTTGGGTTTGTTACGATTTCCAGAATTTTGCACGTGATCCACAGAACTTGCGTGACAAATTTATTTAGCTTGCCCGAATACCGCATTCTACCCTTTGGAATGAAAGACAACTTTTGGGAAATGGGTGATGTCGGTCCTTGCGGTCCATGCTCAGAAATTCATTACGATCGGATAGGTAATCGTAACGCAGCTCATCTGGTCAACGCTGACGACCCTATGGTAGTCGAAATCTGGAACCTCGTATTTATCCAGTTTAACAGGTAAACCATTTTTTTTATTTTGAAATGTTTTGATTTTTGTGTTATTTTTTAAATGTTATTAACAGTTTTAGCGTTTGACGCCTTTGTTATCATTTCAGTCTTTAGATAACTTATCTGTTTTTAAGAGAAGAAGGTGGTATTCTCCGTCCTCTTCCAGCAAAACATATTGATTGTGGCCTCGGATTAGAACGCTTAATTGCTGTCATCCAAGGGAAGACGTCAAATTACGACACCGATATTTTCCAGCCGATTTTTAAAGCAATCGAAAAGGTTCGTTGTACACGTGTATTTTTCACGTAATCTATACCACAATGTGGCTTTGATTCACCAGCGTTTTTTTTGGTTGGAAAGTACCGTCATAGTTTCCAGGATCGACTTTCTATTAACCTCATAAATGCGTCGTTTTCTTGTTCAGCAATCGCGAGGTTTTTAAACAGCGTACATTTACTTCCATAGAGAAACGCGATACAGTACAATATCACCGAAACATCAGCTAGTGTTGTATTGTATTGTGTTTCTCTATGGAAGTAAATGTATGCTGTTTAAAAACCTCGCGATTGCTGAACAAGAAAACAACGCAGTACCGTCATATTTGGTCGTAGACCGTGCTGAAAATGTTTTTCTACATTTCTCTATTTTAGGGAACTGGGATCCGAGAATACACAGGTAAAGTTGGAGCAGATGATGTTGATGGGGTCGATATGGCCTATCGAGTTGTGTCTGACCATATTCGAACTCTCACTATTGCACTTTCGGATGGAGGCCGACCTGATAATACGGGACGAGGGTACATTTGAATAGTTTGTTTATGCTTTTGATGTCTACATTGTTATGTGCTAGATATGTCTTGCGACGTATTCTTCGAAGAGGTGTTCGCTATGCTACTGAAAAGCTTAACGCTCAGCCTGGGTTTTTCTCTTCCCTGGTTCCTGTCGTAATTGACATTTTGGTACTAATTTCTCATCCCACTCATTAGTGTTATAACTGAACAAATTTTAGTTCTTCACCATTTTAGGGAGATACCTTCCCGGAACTGCATAATGATCCAGAGACGGTTCAAGACATCATCAATGATGAAGAGAAGCAGTTTTTGAAAACGCTTAGTCGTGGTCGCGTACTGTTCCAACGCGCTGTATCGCAATTGGGAGCCAATATAAAGACTTTTCCCGGTCAGACTTTCCTAGTTTTTTTTCCCAATTTTCACTAAATTGAGTGTTTTCTCAACCACTTTCGAGATTTTTTTAGTTAAAGAAACATTGTAATAATAAAACAAACTCTTTGCAGGTGACGTTGCCTGGCGATTATATGATACGTATGGATTTCCTGCTGATTTAACACAACTAATGGCTGAGGAAAGTGGTCTCTCCGTAGATCAGATCGCTTTTGAGGAATGCAGAAAGAAGGCGGTGGTTCGTTATTTTGCCAGAATATATCTTGCTCGCAATGATTTTAATTGTCTATTTTTCGTTTAAAGGAAATGTCATCTGCTGGTATTGGTAAATTTCGCGACACTGTGGACCTGGATGTTCATGCTCTCGCAGAACTTCAACGGAGAGGCGTGCCTATGACGGACGATTCATTTAAATACAAATACAGCTTTGACGGCTGCTTGGATGGAACCGTTAAATACAGTACGAATCAATTCTGTTGCATTTTACAACTTCTTATATCGCGATTTTACAGCATTTTCGTCATGCACTGGTAAGATATTGGCGATTCGTAGTGATGGGAACTTCGTCAACTCAATAGAATCTGGAGTCGAAGGAGCTGTACTCCTTGATAAAACGAATTTCTATGCCGAGCAAGGAGGTCAAATTTATGACACTGGTGTGCTTTGCAAAATGAATGAAGAGGTAGCTTCATATCTTGTTAGCATTTATGTGTTCCAAACTTTTTTAGCTCTTTAGATTTCCTTGCTCCATGTTTTATCGTATTTTTATTGAGCGAACTGTTTTACGGCAGTGATATTTTTGTTTGATCTTAAAGACGTCTCGAAACTCTTTCTTTAGGGGGTTGAGTTTGTGGTTTCTAATTGTCAAGTTCGTGGAGGGTACGTCGTTCTCGTTGGTTCAACAAATGGAAAACTTTCTGTTGGAGATACGGTCATACAGAGTTTTGACGAAGTGAATTTTCGCATTTCATCATTTTACTTTCGGGGCAATCCTTCATCTTGGGTACTGCATATATTAAGGATCGAAGATCATTGATTATGAAGAATCACACCGGCACTCACGTGTTAAATCATGCTCTTCGATGCGTTTTGATCAATTCTGATCAAAAAGGATCTCTTGTCGCTCCAGATCGCCTTAGGTTTGACTTCACCAGCAAGCAGGCCATGACGATACAGCAGGTAGGCGGTGGTTATCCCACTTGAAGTCAGCAATTTCTTTCCGCATTGTAATTCCGTTTATCGCTAGGAGTCGAATAAAAATTACGAGAAAACGAGTTAAAATTTACGTCTCTATTTTGAGTTCTAAATTTGACCCATTCATATTACATCTTCGTTTTTAAAATGTAGTTTTTGTTGAAGACAAGTTAAAATATTTTCGGAAAAGCATTTTTAACACAGCTTTGATTTTAAATCTATCGCTCGTGGGTAAACTAAATCATCACTACTCCATGTTAGTTACTTGGAACTGATTTCGACATTTGCTATCGCTTTCATGATTCATCCTTTAACATATTCACAACAGAGCTGGTTTTACAAGAACTGTTGTTAGTTTCTTTATGTTTAGATTAATTGTAGAGTTCGGCACTTCCCACACTAATGTAAGGGACTTTGCTCTACTGCTCTAAGTCTGTGCGTAATTCTCAAAAAATATATTAAAATTTGCAACGGAAGCACGGCTTTGGCAAAAACCGATAATGTAATGACGAACATCGTGTAATGTTCTGCTGGACAAAATTACGGTCGAACACTTGCTTTAGTCTTCAGAAAGTCTTAATTACAAATTGGTAGAGTGAAAAAAGGATAAAGGTTGGTAGAGTAGGAAAACTTATTTCTATTTGGCAAAGATCTGTCGCTTCCATTAATTTTTATTTCAATTATGAAGTCCACTATTAGCCGAATATGTCGTTTATATTTGGGAGCGGCTATCTCTTTTTTCTACATATGCATTAGAATCAATGCATGCCATCATGAATATGTGGAAGGATATTACCTGTACCCTCTTTACTGACATTCTTGTCAACAGAGGTTTGTGTATTGTAGTTAATGTGGCATTAATTTTCAATCTATAATCACCTGAAAGCACAAGGAAAGATCTGTTCTGTCAATTTAGTAGACTGTATATTCTAGGTGCGCGAAACTGAAGAAATTGTGCAGTCCATCATAAATACTCGTCAAACTGTGTTCGCTGAAGAGGTTCCACTGGCCCAGGCTCGTGAAATCAATGGCCTGAGAGCAATGTTTGACGAGGCAAGTTTATGAGATTATGAAAATTAGCTTGTTCTTCAATTACCATATGTGCATTCACCTCTGTAGAACTATCCTGATCCTGTACGAGTTGTCTGTGTTGGCGTTCCAGTTCAACAACTTCTCGAAAATCCCAAGAGTGATGCTGGTTTGAAAACGAGTGTGGAGTTTTGTGGTGGGACGTAAGTTCTTGCAGTTGAATGGGAATTTATCTTAGGTCCGTAGAGTAGTACTTAGTATTGTTTAAGGCATCTCCATAATGTTGGTCACATTGGTAATTTCGTAATCTCATCCGAAGAAGCGATTGCAAAAGGAATTCGACGGATTGTTGCGTTAACTGGACCGGAAGCTGAAAGAGCAATTCATCGAGCGGAGAGGATGGCTGCTAGAGCACAGGTATTTTCTTTTCTTTTTTTACTATAATTGCTCCTCACATTCACCGCTATCCGTTGCTTACGAATCTCATTTCTTTTGACTTTCCGTTATTTTCTTCCAGAAATTAGGAAGGTGGAAACAATTTTAGGCTATTTCTGATTCCATATCTGGGAACAAAGAGATGGATTCAGAGAAGTTCAAAGCAATGTCGAGGCGTATCCAAGAGCTAATTGACGTATACTTTTTTGCTATGTTACTTTCCGTCGAATTTTTTGAGCTGGCTGATTTCCTTGTGTTTTGTTAAGGAAGTTAATGGAGCACAGTTACCGTACTGGCGAAAAGATGCTATCCGTGAGCAAGGAAAAGCAGCTCAAAGAACACTGGACGGTTACAAGAAATTGGCAGATGCTGCTATCGCAGAGAAGGTCCTACGCCATCATTGATTCATGAAAATATGACAGTGCTGCAGCATTTTCATTGGTGCGTAATAATCAGCGTTTAAGGTTGTCTCTGAAGCGAAAGAACTAGCTCAAAGAGAACAGCAAGATGTGGTCGTGCACGTATTTTCTGCAGGGGCCAGCAGTAAGGTCATATAATTTATAGCTGCTTTATTTTAAATATCATTTTTAAACTCATTCTAAGTGCATAAATTTAAGGCTCTTGATAACGCCTTGAAACAATTGAAGAGTTCAAAAGCAGTGATGGGGTTCTCCGTGAACGAAGAAAATGGGAAAGTGCTTGTACTAGCGAGAGTTGACAAGGTGGTTTAAATCACACATTGTTTGCTCAAAAATTTTGGTTATTTCTGCTGACAAAGTGCAGGTTTTACTATGCAAAAATTGTTATCACACTAATGTTGTGACTAATATTTTTAGTCATTGGTTGATGAGGGATTAAAAGCAAATCTTTGGGTTAACGAAGTATGTGCGGTCCTTGGTGGACGCGGTGGAGGAAAGGATGCAAATGCACAGGTAGCTAGCTATACAAGATTTGTATTCATATTGTATGAAGAAGCCTTTCTCCAAAGATGTCTCAGCTGAATGTGATTGGGACTTCTTTCGCTTAATGCACCTTAATGCTTAATGTACTTTTAGGCGACCGGTGAGAATGTTGACCGATTAGAAGAGGCAGTTCATTTAGCCCGTAAATTTGCCCAAACTGTCATATCCTGATTTTGATTGATCGATTGAAGTTGTTATTGTAAGTACTTACGTTATCATGAAGTTCCTGCTTTTTTTCCCATACGTCCGCATTCAAAAAGACTATTTCAATATGTAATAATTCTCTCTGATATTAATTGTTACAAGGATTCTTGTTACATTTATATGGGTCCAATTTGTTAATAATATCGATGAATAATAATATTATTAGCAAGGCGGTAAAATAACCAATCCTTGGCTTATTAAAAAGTCTTAATTTCAACCTTGGGCAAGTTGTTCACGAACTGTTTAATGACCGTGTGCTTAAAAACGGTGTGAAGATGACAGAGATTGACGTTTAAAATAGCTATTCTTTCATCATTCGAGGTATTAGTTTAATGAAGATGTTAATAGTTGTGATTCGAGGGTAACTTCCATTCAATAAAAAGGTTTAAAATTAAAAACCTTATGGTGGAGGGAATCATTTAGAGTATCAAACTTCCAAACTTGTCTTCGTATACACATCGCCGAACGAGTATATCAAATGTAATTAGAGGGCTTGTGACATTGATTCCTGTTCTTTCTAACGCAATGGTGGATATGCAGTAATGTGGTTAAAATTGCACTGCAATGAGCTGTTGGTCGTTAGTTAGATCGCGTTCGACGAACAAACCAAGCCTTCCATCACTCTAAAGTAGGGGAACTGCTGGGCAGACATCTCTGGTGAGGAAAAGAAGCACTGATTTGATACATCGATGGACTATGCGTAGGCTATAAATGCAATCATTCGCCACTACGATGTTACGAATGGAGCCAAATGAATAGTTCACCCGTAAAGAACTGTGTGGGTCGAAAAAAATCGAGGTCGATGGCTTCATCTTTCCTTCTAATATTTTCTGAAGTACATGAAATTCAAAAAGTATTTGGTGGAAACGATTTTAGCTAGTACATATGTTAGTGTGGCTCCTTTTTTCTTTCGAGGAACGATGTTCTTTTGTCGGATTTTGGATAAACTAGCTGGGAAGTTTTACACATGGAATGCTTATGTAGTATTTTTTTTTTATTTTGCACTACCCATCACATCTTCCGAGCAGATCGCAGTCTTCTCGCATTTTATTCGTTTACGCATGTGGGCTTTGCTGCTGCTCGAAGATCGTCTTCTTCTTTATGGAATGTCGTTGAATGGCGCTCGAGACGATTCTTGTTGAAGTGCTGGAATAGCCACGCTAGTGTTCCCACCTGGATTGCAGGGGATGGACCGTTCCTGGACAGGTCAGGTACCAATTTATTGCCTCCGAAAGGATGAGAGCCCTTGTGAGCTCGTGGTAGATTCAAACTAGCGTTGTGCCCATGGTGGTCGGTATAACTACCGCTACAGTGCCTTCTCCCTCACATGATACATAAATAAGAAGGACAAATCCTTCAATCGCTGGAGGAGGCTCCATAAATTCGACTTCAATAAGTATCGTTATAGGTGACTGAATGCATATCTAGCCTATAAAGTGACTCACAGTGGCCTACCAATGTATCTATACAGTGCTGTCATCGTCTCGGACGAGTCATTACTTATTTGCTGACCCGAAAGTGTTGAAAGGCTTGGTGAGCCCTGCGCGTGATCGAACGAACGACCACATGTGTCTTTCAGAGCACCTTTAACTGCTGCGTCCCTTATATAATGTTAATAATAACAATAACAATAATAATTAATAATAATATGTAGACTAATAGACAGCTTATCTATCGTGATGCAAGTTGTCTTCAACATCATACTTAGGCGCATAGTGCAGTGTTCGCTCGTCTGAACGCAGACATCTGTTACTGATAACGTTTCTTGTCTGTGAGATTATTATAAGCGGTACTAAAGTTGTGTTTTTGCTAGATTACACTCGAATGTATCACTCACTACCTACGTGAGTGCTCTATGCTGTACGGGTTAAGGTAGCGAAGAACATTGAGTGAAAAGAAAAGTAACTAGTAATTCTAAGGAATTCCTGTTAACATACAAGATTCCTGATGGTATACTTGGGATTTTTGGTAATTACCTGATATGTGCTTCTTAGTATTTAGTGCATGCGATTGTATTTCTCCTTCACAACTATGATTTCGGTGAAGTAACAGCGGAGTTTTTCTCGATAACTATGTCTACATTTCTTTCCCTCTGGTTTTCATACGCTTTAAATTCGTCGGTTTTTAGCAGAAGATTGTCAGTTTAGTGTTCGGATAAATAAATGATCTCAGAAGTGAACGGGAAACTGAGGAGACAGGTGATCATCGATCAGAATATGGAAACAACAAGATCGAAAGAAAACACAACTACACCAGCCGAGTGATGGTGCAGTCGATATGAACGGAGATCGATAACAAGTAAAAAGCTGAAAATACTGAACTGTTGTTTGGAAACAGTAGAAGTTAGATCACATTCGTAGAGTGAGATCAGAATCCTAAGCACATCCAGATAAAACTCGACATGAACTTAGAGAAATCAACGATTCAACTTCTAGATGGAAATGCTTTCTATTGTGTCGTTCGCTATGTGGAGAACATCCTTAGCTGTGATTTACCACTATAATAAGTAACTGATACTACTGTTATTTACTTTCTGAAGTATGTGAGTCGCGTCTTCAGCGATATGGAAATCTATATGGAGTGCGGTCCGGAGTTTTGCAAATATCTCAGCATCATTGAAGTTATATTTCGCAATATGCCCTGCCATCAAAAAGAGTGGGCAGTAAATAAAATGGTTAGGATTGTGATTATAATTAAAGCCTCAGCTTAACTGGGTTCATTGCCGATATAGGCTCCTCAGATCGATCCCACTGACGGGTGATTGCTGATGGCCGAAATCGATAGAACTAGCTGAGAGCAAGGCGAAACGAAGGACCAGCATGGTGTGGTGGTGAACGCGTTACTCCTCGGACAGGACAATAGCGCGTTCGTTCCCCACCGCCACCTGCAGTCCGGAGTTCTGCAAATATCTCAGCATCATTGAAGTCTATAGGGAGTGATTTTTTCCATTCTCAGCTGGAACAGAGATAGAATCTCTTCCATGAGCACCTCAGTTCTTAGTAAAAATCCAGTAAAAAAATAGTAGATGAATGTGTAAAGTCGATAAACCATAGCTAATTAAAACGAGGAGAGGAAAAGCAGACCCGCGAAACTATGGACGTATTGATTTTGCAGGCTCTTATGAGTAAGTATGAAGTCAGTGCAGTGAAGTTCATCGATTCGTTGTTACTGTTTAAAGTAATTTTGTCTCTTCTCTCTTTTTTGCGGGATTCAATCATTCATGAGAAGCTGACCATAGAATGAGATTATCTTACAGATTTCCTTCTCATTAATGGAACTGTTTTCGGAGTTAAAGTGATATTATGGGAAAAAAATTGGAGGAGCATCAGAAGTACGCGTCACATCGAAGCCGGCTTCTAATTGGACTTCGATGAAGTCATTGAGGAACTAATCATTTTATATTACCACCTCCTACTGTGGTGTTTGATTTTTCATAGAACACTGATTCTTATCAAGTTTGCAATCTAAACGATTCCACTTGATGTACTTATCATTGAGCTGGTCAAGTTCATGGATCGATTTCCAATTTCGATCATGAAAATGATGAGTACTGACGTTGTTGAGGGAGCTTCCATTCGGTCATCCATGACATCACCAATGATTCACGTTGGCATCATGCTAATGAAGATGTCGCTGTCGTCGTTGTCATCTGAACTACCGTAACTCCAGTATGTACTTCTGAATGTTTTCGTTATTTTAGGTCAACAAACCCATCGACCCATGTCTCTTACTGCTGCTTATCATAGTCCGCGGCGTGAGTGGGGGCTTATCGCCTCTGACGTTCGTTGTGCGCAAAGCGAAGCTCCGAGAGGACGTGTGGCGCTGGCCGGCTGGCGGGCTGGCTGACTGCCTGGCTGACGTTGTTGTAAAGCGCGGCGCTCAGTTACGTATTTGTCCCGCATCATCGCTAACCACTAAACCCGAACGAACAACCCGACTTTACTTTCTCTATTCACGAATTTTGCTTTTCTCTTTCTTTTTCAACCGTATACATCCCATTATACACATATACACGACGCCCCAATCGAACAACGACCGTTATTTTCTAATAAATCATGCTTAATGCCTTTGATACGAACGAATATGGCCCTATGGGACAATTGAAGACGACCTATGCTGCTGGCCGATCATCGTCAACAGCAGCGGCCAGTACAATTTGTCCGTCTACAACGAAACGAACCACACCGATGATGCCTGTTGGTGAGCGTTTTGATGAAATTCATGAAAAAAGAGACTCTTCGCTCCAGGATTTCTTTTAAATGCTTATTTCTTTATGCTTAAGAAACTCCTATGCTCTTTATCTACAGGAAACTCTTTCTAATATAGAGCAAACAAAAATTGTATGGATAAAAAAGTAACTGGTAACGGTGTCATTGTATTCAACCCTCTAGTTCTCGTCTAGATGAAGTTCTACCGTAGCTCTAAGAGAGCTCGTATTCAATTTTTCTTTACTCTCTGTAGAACTTGTTTAACTTAAGCTCAGTCTAGGTTATTTTTTATGAAGTTTTCGAAGTTATTCTTAGGAGTTTCAGGTGATATGGTCATATTCAGTAAGGTCAAGGGTTAAGAAAATTGTTTGAAACTTGGCAAACAGAGCGTTGATGTATGAAATCAATAGCATCAAATTTTAAAAATAGTGTGGTCAGTTTGGTGTTCTAGAGATTCAAAAATGCTGTTGGTAGAATCACATTAGATAACAACGCAAATTTTATCTCTAGAATTTCCTTGTTCTGCTATATCGATTTTTATCTATCCTACTTTTACCATTTTTCTACTTTGTTTCCATCTTTTAAATTTGTTAATCGATGCAAGGAAGAAAAAACGAAACGTATCCTAAGCAATTCAGTGTTCGATAAGCTAGGCTTCATCGATTTAACTATTATAAATGGTAGCAAATCTTTACTACCGTAGGTATGAGCAGTATTATACTTTTGTGACTTATTTTCCCACTTTTCCTTTTTTTGCATTTTATCTTCCTAACGCAGAGGATCTCGGGCCATTCAGTCTCGTAAGACTACATGGCGCGTTTTCCAGTGGTGCATAGGTGTGCTTATACGTTAACCACGAGCGACCTTGACTACTTCGAAAACGTAGATGGACACAGAAGATAAGCTCTTTGTTACTGCTATACCCAGATTGGCATAATCATTCTATCCATCCTTAGAAATACTTGCTTGTGAGTGCATATATGTGATTACTTCAAATGTAGATTGTATACTGGACGTCAGTTCAAGCAAAAGCCCACAAAACCCATGGAAGTACATAGGAGGTGGTTCGCGGTCATGTTCAACTACTACACAAACTCTCATACATACTCCTGATGAGCCTGTTGGGTAATTTGTTAATGCCGCTTGTCACTTGAAACATTTTCAAAACATCAGAGCTTGGGTTGTTTTTTGGGCATACCTTGAGCATGCAGGTTCTACTAGACGACTCAGTAGTGCGCCGAAGGGGAGCGGGTGCGGACGACGGGCTGGTGTGCACTCGAATCTCTTCGTGATTAATAGGATTACGGTTAGCACAGGAGGCAGATGATCCATTGCTATTAGTACAATTTTATCCACTCATTGATGACCATCCCTTTATGTTATTAAGTAATCATACTCACTCATTGAGTACAGTTGCTGGTAATTACGGCCATTAAAACTGTTGTAGTATTGTTAGTAGTAGTGGTTTGGGAAAACTCTAAGATCATTTTGAATCATCGGTCAGCTGACTAATGGGAATTCGCTGTGATCGAAAGAAAACATTTCGATCATTGGAGAAAAGAATCCAAGTGTATAGAATGTCAGCCCCGTTTTGTTTGCATTAATACTATTCATGTTATGATTCGCTGTCATGTCAGAGTTAAGTAACAACGTGGGTTGGTCCGTTGGAATACCTCAAAACAGGTCTGCAAATGCTCCTGCTGTATTTTGACAGACATTGCTTCTATTTTATAGAACTATGATGCGAAACATTAAAAAAAAACGCTGGCGGAAATCGACTATGATGTCGGGTATTCAAATGACAAGATTAGAACATTTATGACGGAGTGATTTGTGTAAATATCACCTGCATGTTGCACGTATAGCACAGTGATTAAGGGTACCTTAAAATGCACACATGGTGTTAAGTTCGATCTCTCGCCGTGTGATCACGAGGCTTTCCATTTCTGGGAGGTCTAAAAACTGGTACCTCTCTTATTTGGAAAGGTATTAAGACTGATTTGCTCCATCGGTAGGCTACAGCAAGTCATTGTAGATGCCAGATACGCATCCAATCACCTACCTCTAAGAATGCTAGGCGATGTCGAATTCACGGCCCATTTCTCAGAGATTGATCAACGCCGAACAACAGTTTATCCTTTTATCTTCTATCGCCTTGATCACCTGTATCATGTATGATCATATTAATTGCCAAGTAACTGAAACGGGCCGACAGGAAGAAGGTCAGCACATTTGCGGCGCATCAAATTCCTTTCGCTGGAAGGATGCGAACAACATCGCAACATGGCTCACATGAAATTCTTCACTTTTATTAGTTCCAGCGAGTGGTGAACCAGTCGTAAATTCTCTGGCTTAACTGGATTAGAGGTGTTACATATTTGTTGAATATGACTTCGAATCCTGAATAATGAATTCCTCCCGCCATTGGATACATTAAGCGTCACATCCTCCATACGGTGATCTTTACTGCTACTGGGCTTGCCAAGAATGTATCACTTCTATCTTTTAGGGCTTTCCTTGAGCAGAATTTGAGTCATTTTTAGGCCTATTTGGTGAATACGTCTTCAAATCAACTCCCATGTCGTTTCCGGTACCTGAAATCACTTCTGGGATTGTATCATCATACACGATACAATTTTCATACAAACAAGCAAATTCGTATATATACGCATCAATATGATTACACTCATGCAAAAAGGTGAAGTCAAGTCATTGGACAGTCGTGGCAGGAAATCCATTGGTACCCTGATTTCAACCACGTCTCTCTCAAGGGAAGCCATCTTTGTCAGTGTCTTTTCATTGCAATGTGTAGCCGATTTTTTGTGATGGAAGAAGCAGTGGCTGTTAAAAAGCATCCAGACAATCCAAAATAGCTAATTCCACCTCCTTTAAAAGTTCTATCCACCACGTTCTGACGACGGCGTAATCTTCCATTTGATCGATTCGAGATTTCTCACTTGCAAGGAGTTCACAGAGTAGAAAACGGTGAAAGACCGAAGCATGCGATTTTAAAAGCCACTTAGTTGCGTACTGATAAAGGAGTGACGAATTTGGGTGATCTTGAAAAGTCACTGCCATAATGAAGTTGACATTTCTCACGTTTTTCTTCTATTGAGGATTTACCCACGTCCTTACAAAATTTCGCAATGAAAAGGACAGGTGAAATTGTCTGGAATGTTGAAAATTCAAAGCAGGATCACATATTGGAAAGGTCCTCAAAGAATTATTTTTATACTTGACTTCTTCGGCTTTATTCAGCTAGTGTAAAAAACAGCGATAGAAATTAAACTTGAAAAGTGGTATATAATTGATTTCCAAACATTTCCGTATGCCAAGTTACTCTAGGGACATTTTATTCCGTATTATCACCATCTTTAGGGAAGCGCATGCGGAGGCGCCCTGCAATACACACGGGGTCAATTCCCGCGCACGTAGCCCTTCCCTCCGGGGTCGGCAAATTGGTACCAGACTTGTCTGGTAGGATAGCAGCACAGGCACGATACATCGGCCACCGCAAGTCATTGTAAAGGTCAGATGTGCATACGATCACCTCCAAACGATAATTAATGAAGTCGAATGCATGGCGCATCCCCCAGGGATTGATCAACACCAAGAGCTTAATTATCACCATCTTTGTGGGGGAAAAGTTTAATAAATTTTTATCAGAAGGAAAAAAAGCTTATTCCAGTGTTTAATATTCATAACGCTTCTTCAGCACTCGAATTGTTCTTTGACAGGCAGTTTCGGAAAGCTTTGGATATCAAATGTTGAGATGAGACTATGAGGATTTTGTTCTGTTCACATAAAATGCTAACTACCTTTTCCACATTTTGTTATTCTTTGTCTACTCGGTTGCTTTTTCTTGCAATGAAATTAACATTTACATCAATAAGTAGATAGCAGAAATACTTTGAACGGTCTACCGTAATCATCTGCGTTATCTATGGACGTAATAGGAGAGTAATGCTAACATGATTTGACCTTAGAGTATTTGGCTGGAATTATCGTAGATTTTCCAGTTGACGATCTCAATTGCTCCGTTCTATATAAACATTGTGGTTGGGCGGTAAATCACTGCGACACACTCTCGTTCATTTACTCAGGACATCACAAAGCCCCTCCCATACCACCTCAACCACACCGTAAACCTCGTCATCGCCAATGAGATGCTTTGGGGGTGAAAAGATTCTTAAGGGAAAAGCTTTAATAATCGCATAGAGTTGAACGACTTGATATCAGTGCATTCCGTATGAATTAATCTAGTCATATCATTCATTCAGAATGAAGAATAAATATTATGGAGACCTAAAATGAATAAGGGACAAAACCTGTGGTACTTACCAGTCCTTCATTGATGCTTAATGCATTTGGCTCCATTCCTACTATCATAGATGAGGTTGAACTCGTATTTCGTCTATACAGCGACTTTCGGTTGTCCACCAATTCATCAAGTCAATGTTTTTACTCCTTCCAGACAAGTCCCATGTACCAGGTAACACTGTCGACCATGAAGTGATGAAAGAGTTCGTTTGCCTGGTATTTTACGGGGAACCTTTAAGCACTGCGCCAGACGTTCTATAACGATAGAAATGTAGTCGTTTCTAAACAAAACACTAGAGAGAATTTTCGTTGTTCAGGGCATAAATAACTCTTGTTTATTTTTGATGTGGGAATCAATACAAGTGCAAACTATCTATTGTCTATCTTATCGTGCTATCTTGTAATGATACGATTCATCATGCTTTTTTTTCGGAGATGATGTCAGTGGTTCCCGTACTTCACTATTGCTATGAAAACTTGGTGTTTGTTTTCTTTCAGCGCCAAAGATTTTCCAACTAAACGCTTGATGTAGTCATTACAATGAGGTGGATCTTACGTAAGTAAGATGAAAGTTACGGTACTCACTAAAAACAGCAGGAAGTTGGTAAAAACTCGTAGTCATTTTAATGCAAGTGTCATAAAGCATTTATTGCTCGTTTCGGCATTTTCACTTTTGTCCGTCGTTTTCTTGTTCAGCAATCGCGAGGTTGTTATACAGCACAGTTAAACGTTTAATTCCATACAAAGAACACATACAACACCACAGGAGCTGACGTTTCGGCAGTATCGCATTTTTAAGAGCGTGGAAGGGTATAGCGATGCGTACACTGGAACACCGATCCTGGGAACTACTTGAACTTTGCAATGAACTTTTTTTGTATAACCTTCGCCATCGTGAATTTATTGATCTCAATGAATTTCTGCCGGACGATAATTTCCAAGTCAAAAGATCTGATCGATTTCGGTGTTCGACTTTGCGGGTTGTTTGTTGATAACTGAAATTTTGAGCATCTTGAAAACCCTACACAAGCATGGATGTTTTATGTTGCAAGCGTTATGGTAGAGTTTTCCAGTTTTCCTTTTGGTGAGAGCTCTTCGGAAATGAATAAGCTTTTGTAACGCATTTAAAACATTAAGGAAAAAGTCTTTCTGTAGAAAAAATCCACAAGAATCTGCCTGAGTCAGTTTTTTCCTGACTATTTTAAAATCTACTCAGTAGTAAGTTTGTCATTACTTTCAATTGCAGTCTTACTGTGGTAGAGCGTCAGTCCTCCTCATGGTAGGTATGAACGCTTACGGCTGCAGATGTGGAGAATTTCGACGGCAGATTTTACCTCGTTCTTGTCTCTCTTCAAGTTCATACTGTTTACTGAGTGTTGTAAGGATTCTAAAGATCCAGCGATACAGTAATGCTATAGAGAACTTAAGATGGACTAACTATGTCCTACACTAGGAGGGCTTACGAATGTATTTAGCCCCCCATTTTCTTCAGTATTGATCAACAATTTTCTTATATGCCGATATAAAATAATTTTGTACAATAGTACTTCTGATATGACAGACATTTTTTCCTTTTTCACTCTTCGATGAGCTTTTTAAAGCATGTGCCATTTTACAAATTAACACAGGATAAAGGAGAAAACTCTCGGAGTTGATCTTACGCTTAGAAATGCACCGTGCATTTGACTCCACTCGTCGCATCGTAGAGTTGGCTGAATGCATACCTGGCCTATACGGTGACTCTCATTGGCCTACAGTTACATCATTTAAGTGCTGTTATCTTCCCAGACAAATTCGGTAACGAATTACCAGCACTGGAGAGATGAAGAGCTTGGTTTCTTCGGAGCGCTTGATCGAACCAAACACTGTGTGTACTGGAGGTGAATGCACTAGGCGCGTCCCACATAAGCTAATAAGCCTATGAAACAGTGTGTAATGAAATTCGTGCTCATCTGTTTGAAATTATAATCAGTTAGTGTTTGTTAGACTTTTGTTCTTGTTAGTGCGAAGAACAACTGTGAACTGAACAAAATAAGTGAAGTAACAAACAGCAGATTAACTGGTAAGGAACAACCATAGTGTTTTGGTATCGAAACCGTTATCTGTGGAATTGGAGGAACATCTATGGGTTCACGAACTTGTGTTCTCATTTATAAAGAAATACTTTAGAATTTTTCCAACAAAAAATACTACTGAAAATTTGTAATATAATGGCAGTGGTGTGGTGATACTTAGCATTGAATGCGTACGATATGCTGTCGTCATTCATCAGATGTTTCTTCAATCAATGTGCATACAATGCTTCCTAATGCCGAAAAATCATTGTTATTTAAATATTTAGTTTCTCCTTAGTAAACAATAAGGAGTGTATAGTGTAGTGGCCAAAGGGGTGCTGCAATGCACATGACTTCGACCCCGCGTCCCAGGCTCACCAAGTCTTCCATCAACCCTCTGGGATCGGCAACTTGGTACTAGACCTGTCTGGAAGGATGACAGCACTGACTCGTTACATCGGTAGCCCACCATGAGTCATTATAATGGTCACGTATTCATTCAGCCATTTCTTACGATCCTTGGTGAAATCGAATCCATAGCCGATATAACAGGACTGATCAACGCCAACATTCTACTTTATCCTTTTATAGTAGGTAGGACCTTCTATAGAAGTTGAGTGGTTTGTTTCTATTTCAGACATTGAAATCGATTAGTGGTATCAGGAGGACGTTGTTGAGACTTCTTCATTTCCACCAATACCATCCTCCTAAAAGTTTGCAAAAATTGATTTGCTGGAACTCGTATGTTCATGGAAAATCCAGAATTTTGTAACGCGTATTCACTGAAGCATTTGGTAAAACAGCCTCCTTGTTCTGGACTTGTGTCGCATCAGCGTTCACCACAGTTATGATGGTACTCGTTAAAATTCGTCAAAACAAACGAGTTTCGCTTTTTTTTTTAAAGAAATCGAACAAAATGCAAATCTTTGACGATGATCCGAATCGGCGATGTTGAGTCAGCAAAGAGTGAAATTGTGGTTTTGCATTCGAAATACGATCGGACATACGAAGAATGGGGTGTGGTGGGTTGTGCCAGGGATCACGGCATGCCATCATTATTGTAACGTAGACCGGTCCACTGGATCCCGAGCGGCAATGGACTCACGATGGCCGATCAGATGTCAATTCATCTTCTTCGGTGATTTCCGAATTCAACGAGGTCCATCATTTTCTATTCTACAGTCGATTTCTTCTGCGTCGCTACCATAAATGGAATTCAGCCATGCTACTTCAAAAAGCATAAAGAAGAAAGCGTTCGCGTCCATGAATTCCTTAGCAATTCACTATGCTTTCGATTCCATTCGTATCATCATAGTAGACACTGGGTGTATACTTTGCCTTTACGATCGGTGAAGTTACAAGTGTTTTAATTCGGTGTTTTTGTCCTCCTGGACAAGTCTGCTACTGATTTGGGAGAAGTTGGTGATTTGGTTTGCCCTGGGCACAGGGCTGGAACAATGACGTGTTGTGTGTTCCAATGTACCTATAACCACTGCGCTACGTGCACTTGCAATATTCCATAGATCTACGGAAAAGAAACCTATTGTCTTTTTTTCTGGAAGATTCTTACTTTCAGCTTTTCTGGAATATTCCATACGGTGAACTATTGGACAGCGAAAGGTCTGGTAAAATCTTGTAGCTACATTAGCGCTTAGGAAAAGAATTTTTTTCGTTCCTTTACAAGTTTTGTAGAGTGCTTAGACAATTTTAGTTTTGTGCGATACTAAATAACTGGAATTCTCTTAGTAAGACTACAATTATTATCAATCTGACCAAGACTTGAGGTTAGAATCAATCAATAAATTGGTTCGCAACAGAAATGAACAAAACTAATCACTTTGTTCTCCAAAAGACAGATAATTAAATCAGAAAGAGCGCAAAAAAAGAACAAAAGTTGCAAAATGACAAGCAACAAGAGGTGAAAAGATCAAAATCACTTTTTTGAAGGATGGCAGTACAGGGGTGATCTCACTCATCTGTTTGGGCGAAAAGAGACCTTCATAATTTTATCTTCTCATTTAAAATCCACCCTCTCAACGGTGGTTTACTGCCTCATTGTGGCTGAGAGGTGTTCAAGGGTGTCGGGCTGTGATGTGCAGCGTGGAATTCATCTCTATGGCAGGGTCTCCCAAGATGAAAAGGAGTCCAGCGGTTCCATTAGGTAGTCCAGCTAAGAGTAAACCAATACCAAGATCCACCACCGTCCTGGCATCAAAGTCGCATGGTAGCAAATCTCCCTCTGATCCACAAAGGCCTCGACTGCCTGTGGTGGTGACGACCTGAAGCAGACTTTGGCCAGGCCGTCTTCAGGATTCCAGGGAACCACAGTGGCTTAATTAGCAAACCTCCAAGGAATAGAAATTATGTTGAGGCACGCAAAACCAGCGAACACGGGCCACCCAAGTATCCAAGTAAGAAAGTATCGATCTGAAACATTCAAATACAATATCAGTCGTATTGAAATTTAATGTGAACTCATATCAATCATAATGATGGTTTTCAATCTTTCCTCTTAACAAACGATGCCTGCCCTTTTCCTCTCTTCCGTGGGTCATAATTATATCTTTTATACATGATTTCACTCCTACGGAGATTTTCTAAGCTCTTCCCAGTTATTATCATATTTGCTCTATAGAATTTTTTCTTAGTGTTCACAGTTACATTTGTGTCATGGGTAGGTCAAATCTTGGCAGATCGATAAGACATACGGCTAGCTCAGGTTAACTGATTGACTTATTTTCAAACAACATCATCTAATAATTAATAGGAACATTTTTATGGACGCAATAATTAACAGAACCAAAAAAGAATCAATCGGAAAAAGTTTTTTTGGACTTGATTTTATTTCCTGCGCTTCAAATAGATAGGCGAAAAATCAATCAATCAATAACTTTTAGCGAATCGATAAACGCTCTTTTTCTTCAGAGAAAAATTTTGATATTGGTAAGTAAACGAGAAAAGAAGGGGAAGATTTACAGAACAACAGCTGCAGCTAATGAATTTGATCAATGCGATGGTAAAAAATGGCCAATTCACGAGTCAGCTGGCGAACGTGATCTTTACGCTTTGCGCTCAACTGAAAATATCGGGAATAAATCTGGAGCAAACGCATCGAAGTGAGTTAAACTATCATTTCGAGTCTTTCGGAACGCTCTTTCTAAATCATCGATTGCTTAGGAAAAGAAAAATGGCGAAAAAGTGCTTTTAGATGAACTGAACAAGGTGTTTATTTCGTTACGACAAGCATGTTGCCGAGATAATGGCCAACTGGGAACACCTTGCAGGTCGGTGTAGCTTTGTTAAACTTACTTGATACTTGATACTTGAACTGCCCGTCCTCACTGGTTGTGCGAGCCCCAGCATAATCACCATTTTTGGAGATTTGCTGGATAAGCCATTGCGGTTTCCTGGAATCCTGAGGTCAGCTTGGCCAAAGTCTGTCCTAGGTCTTCACCGCTACAGACAGTCGTAGCATTATTTTTGTTACATTGTAGTGCTGAACTTTTGAATTTATGGCAATAACTTTCAAGTGGGGCGTAGATAGCGTACTGTTAGAGCGACCGTTTCACAGAACAGAAAGGATCATTGTTCGATTTCACGCTTGGCAAACCAATACGTCTACCCCTTTGGAATCGGCAAATTGGCGTGAGACTTGTCTGGGAGAGGTGACCTCGGATCCTCAGAGACTGGTAATTGCCTGCGTTGAATACTTGGATTTGCCCTATCACGTCTGTCTCAGGATTTTACAAAAAATCTGGTCGAGGGCTCAGCCATTCATGAAGATCAAATTTCCTAACAGTACTTAAATCTATAGGCAAATGCGAATGCCTTCGTGGATAACAGATGCGTGGAAACGAACCAAATGAAAGAAGTTCTGGGATCCAAACAATCTTTGTTTGAGGGCCATTTAGAAAAAAAACTCATTTTAACGTGGATGATGAGGTATTTAACGCGCCACTCCGCGATGCACACGTGGTGTTTGGTTCGATCCCGCTCTTTCGGCTAATCAATGAGTTCATCTTTTCGGAGTCATCAAACTGGCATCGGATTTGTCTAGAAGGATAGAAAAAAAGCAGTGGATTGATACATCGATAAGCTCCTCAGGAAGGCACCGTATAGGTCAAATATGCATTCAATAACCTCGACAAATTTACGAATGGAGTCGAATGCGCGGGACATCCATAAGGGATTGATCGATAACGAGTCATTTATCCTTTTACTTTCCACTTGATATGCGGATGGATATGATGAAAACCTCATTGGCTTGTTATTGCTCATATTCATAATATTTCCTATACTTAAATATGCTTAAAATTGATAGTTTAAACTTTTAAGGTGGAACAATGTAGTTTTCCTTGAGAATTTCTCCAGCATATGAGGGAATGAATGTGTTCAACCAAGGGAACGCCTTTTCATAATCAGATTCTCATCGAATGTCGTTGATTTCTTTGAAGAACATTCCGTGCTTTCAGATTGAAAATCATGGAGTTGGTTGAACTTCGTGCCATGCACTGGCGTAGCAACTTGGCTCACAGTCAGTATTATCTGAATCGTCCTGAGCAGCGTAGGTTTCCTGGTTGGACACTAGCTATGATAGTAGCACTGCGATAATTCTGCTATCAGAACCCGGAGATCTTGTCTTTGTTTTAGCATTACCTTAAGCACTGCCATTATAAGTGAGTGTCGTGTAGTATCACCATAACAAAAGATACTGCTATTTGAGAAGTTGACCGCGGTTCTGATCATATCTGAAGGCAAGCACAATGATGATGAGATATGAGTGGAACTCGGAATCTCATGGAGGCTTTGAACTCGCGATCACCTTTACCAGGGGCTCATGTGCTCTATTCATCACAGCAACCGAGACATTTGCTTTGTCTTTCTTTCAGTCAATGTTTTACTCTAACAATGCTATTAGCAATCACCTGCCTCGGAAAGAATATTCGCGGGTTCGAAGCCCAATTGAGGTTCCGAGTTTTGCTCACATTTCAACATCATTGTGGGCGTATTTGACATAATACCCTGCCTTAAAAAAATAATAGGCGGTGAGTAGAAGATAGACATATTTGAGCATGTCCTGCAGTGGTAGCTCGAAGCGATTTGTACCGACTTACTGAAATCATCCGAATTTGTTCAAGATATTGGGTACCTTATTATTTAGGGTGGGATTAAACGTACTTTGAAAACGTACGATGAAGTTAAAACATATTAATCCTTAATAATCCATCATGCAGAACACTAATGGTAGTAATATTTCGAAACCGACTCTCCTTTAACCTCGGTGTGACTAATCAATATGTATTCTTCCTTTGATGAGCTCACACGAGCTCAAAGAAAAAATGCATATTAATAATGGCAGTTTTTTAAGATCACAAAAAATTAAGCTCAACCCTAACTATTAGTCGTTTAGATGAGTTTTTCGTATTTCAGAGCACGAGGCATCAGTACCCACTCAACAGATGACATTTCTGCCACAGAATCCATTATTCATACCGACAGACAACCCACAGGCAGCAGCACATCGTAATAATTTACTATACAGGATTTTTGGTTTTCTTCATTGAAGTCGAAATTCCTTTTGCTAAAGGATGTCCCCTTATTCAAACAACATTTGGAACTGAGCAAAAACATCGCTTTTAATCCTCCCAAAGTTTGCAAGAAGCGTAGTTGCTAGAGGTGGCGGACAGCACATGCCACTTGTTTGACCACGCCTGACCAAACAAGCCTTCGTTCTCTCCGAGGTTGGCAAATTGGCACCAGAATTGTCTGTTAGAAGCTCCTCTCGACACACAAACATCAACGATCACCTGTGGGAAAGACGTTGGAACGCTTGAAGATTGTTCTCCTAGGCTTTCAAAGAAATCAGCGACTTTCATGAAGAATACAATCTTCAAGGCATAGCCGAACACTTGCAAATTCGAAAACATTCTTGAATGGAGTATCGTATTGATGACGGAATGAATGTTTCCTTGAGAACCTGTCGAATGGAACTTTGACGTTAGGATTCTTCCACAAGAACTAAGTTTCGTGAATGCTTTCCACATGATCAAAAGACCTTTATGAATTGAAAATCGAAGTGAAGTACCAGGAAATTATATAGAAAAATCAATATTCGTTGTTCTACACTCGTAAGCGAATGTAAAAGCGCAACTTATTCAGCGACGAACGCAAGCTTCTATCTGATACCTGCATCTGGTGGTTGGATACCGCCAGTGATTCCGAGCATACCACCAAACCCGTTTATTCCACAACCACTTCTCGCTCCTGAAGCTGTTCTCATGCGTCAACGAAGTTTGAAAAAGGTACAGTCACTACTTTCAGGATCTGTTTTTGAATGTGTTTCATTATTAATTTCTGATAAGATATATCGCTCTGTACTTATGTAGGCTTTTCTTTAGCCGTCTTTTGTCCCTAGAATTTATCCTACCGTTTATTCTTCTTTTTTGATCATTTCTTTCCATATTGTTCCGTACTTCCTCCTCGTCCTTCTTTATCGTCTTCCTCTTCGTCTTCCATTATTGTTTTAACCATTGCAGTGGTTTTTTTTATTTCAACTAATTCAGAACAAAACTATGTTGCGTCACGAGATGATCATTCGGAACAGCGACTCCGGAAAGATTATGGGAGTAAAGGGCAGACGAGTAGCTCTAGTTGAACAGATGACAAATACCGTAATCAGCTTCCAGAAGGTTATCTTTTCTTTCACCTCGTTCTTTTCCATGAAACCTGTCATTTTTCCTTTATTACCAATTCCAGTCTCATATTTCCTTGTCCTCGTTTAACACCTTATTTCATGAGAACACTGACTGCCAATGTACGTTATTTCATTGATAAGCTAGCATGAGGTTGTTACTAAACATCTATTCGGCTAACGTTTCGACGTATTCGTCTACCTCAGAGCAGATGACCAAGTCGATGATCCACAGTCGTTCGTCTTGTCGATATGGTGTCTTCGCCGTCGTATCGAGTCGGCTCTTCTTCAGTGGAGCACCACGCGAACGAGAGAACCTCATCCGGCAGCGCTCTTTTATACAGGACGTTTGTTGTTGACAGCGATTATCTGTCGATAATTTGTTCTTCGACGGACAATATAACCTGCAGCGGTCGGTATTAGACAGGCTAGCACGTACCGAAGTAATAAGATTGCAAACCGACTTTCATTTAACCTCGATATGAATGACTAGTGTACCTTATTTCACACTGACTGACACAGTAGTAATATTTCGTTACTATTCTATGGACCAGGGCGCGTGTGGCGCAGTGGTTGGAGGCGCCATGTGCGACACAAACGTGGAATCCATCACCGTACCCATGGCCCACCAAGCCTTTCATCCCTCCGGGGTCGGCAAATTGCTACCAGCCTTGTCTGGTAGGATATCAGCACAAGCACGGTACATCGGTAGGCCACCGCAAGTCATTGTGAAGGTCGGATATGCATTCAATCACCTCCAACGACACTTAATGAAGTCGAATGCATGGCGCATCCCTCAGGGATTGATCAACGCCGAGAGTTTTTTAGCTTTAATCTATGGAACATGAATTGCATACGATAGATCATTAAACATTAACTAAAAAACTAATAGATATGATTACGATGAGGTAATTGATATGTATTTTCTTCTTCTTTCTTTTTGTTCCAAAATAGTAGTATAAATAATAGTTACAGGTGGACCCCAAAAGCAAAGAAAGAACCCTTACAATCACTGCATCTTCTATGGAAGATATTGAACGAGCTAAGGATCTGATTATTGAGACAATTAAAAGAAATATGAGTCCGATAAGGGTAAGACTACACATCAATTGGTATCTAGGAGAAGAAGAGTAACTAAGATACTACAGAATTTTTTCCGTTTTCACCATCCTTTTCCTTTATCATTATCGCTATCATTATCATTATCATTATATTACTACTTAGATATTATTACACTTTATGTGTTATTTTGCATTCAACGTTCTGTGCTGAAAAGATGAATATTTAGGAAAAGGAAGAAAAACAAAATGAGCTTGACAATGATTTTAGATAGATCGAAGCATGCATGATAAACTAGAAGACGACGATGAGAACGAAAATGACATTTCGATTGAAACGACACAGGATGGAATGCTCAAGGTGTGCTGCTCCGATCCCGAAGTGCTGCAGGTAACATAATCCTAATCAAATCTTACAGTGATTATACCAAATGCATTCTTTTTTTTCTTGAAGTTGGATTTCTAAATGTGTCGTTAAACGACAAAGGCCTAATCGCTCAATGTAAAGAATGCGCCATGAATCGGTCTCCATTCGTAGTATTGTAGAGGTAACTGAATGCATATCTGGCCTATGCAATGACTTTCACGTGCCTAGCGATGTACCAAGTCAGTGTTTCTATCCTTCCAGGTAAGTATTGTAACAATTTGCCGATCCTGGAAGATGAAGGGCTTGCTTTGTCAAAGGAGAAAGATCTAACAAGCTACCATGGGTGTATTGCAGAGCTCCTTTAACTATTGCTCTACCAGCGCGGAAAGAAAAATGAAAGACAGATAACGGAATTCTTTTAGGCAGCACAACAAGCTCTTTCTGAATATCTTCGAACTCGTGCTCGACCGTCGGCTGAAGAACGTGAGAAACGTAAGGAGCGTCGAAAGAGTATGCCATTGCAGGCTAATCAACCAGATCCCTCATCTAAGGTGCTTTGCAAAGCCTGTTTATTTTATGCATTTCCCTTCAAAATATTTTATGCAGCTTGAGTACTTTGTAATATCTTGTTTCCTATGTCATATTTTCTTACACTTGAACACGTTTGTAGAATAATAACTAACGATGTATAACTGGTAAATACTGACCCAATACTCGTATTTTTTTATTTTTATTTAATCCATCTTTACGTCTACTGTGCAGATCCCAGCACTTCCCACATTCAATTCGTTTCCTCGCATCCACTGTCCACGAAGATTTCCCAACTTTTATGTATGGCTTCGGCTGCTGCTTTAGGATTTTCATTTTATCTAGAATGTCGTAGAATGCTGGTCGAGTCAATTCTTCCTGAGTCCTGAGACAGCCGTTCGAAATTGGATTGCAGAGAATGGTTTTTTCCCTGATAAGTCCGGTACCAATTTCCCGACCCTGAAGGAATGAGAGGCTTCATTGGCCCCGAGCAGAATCGAATTAGCACCATGCTCGTAATGACGGATATCACTACCACTGTGCTATCCGCCCTTGCATATTGATATACAGATAGGAAAAGCTCTTGCGCTTCAGCGTATCACGCTAATACCATCCAGTACCTTAGACACTTAGAGGAACCGTTTTCACACATTGTGCGCCTTCCAGCACTTACATTCAATTCACTGTGCTGCTAGAGCGTTTCCAAATCCTTAACATACATATTACCAAAGTCGCCAGTCTTTGTGTATCGGTGAAAGGTTTGCTGCCTAGTCGATCGATTACTCAAAAGTGAGGTAACAGGCATTATCCACAATACATCGCAATTGGTTCATTTTGTTTCATAGATGAAGAAGTTCTGAAGTGTTCATAGACTGGTCGGTGAGTATTTCTAGCACTATAGGAATTTCTTCTATTGTTTTCATTACCGCTGCACATATCCTTTTTCTAGAGTTATCATCTCATATTTCGAAGGGATTTTGAAAACGTTAAAAGAGCTGCTCCGTTTCTTATATAGTTGTTTTTTGAAATCCTTTTTGTATGCCGTCTTTTCTTCCTTATTTTCCCATTCGGTTAATTTCTCTCGCAAACCATATTCAGCAAAACCGCTCATTCCACGGCTCTACTCCAAATCTTGCGGAGGCCGGTTTAGAAGCTGCGCAACAACAAACGACGAAAACGAAGAATGCAGAACCTTCTAAGGTGAACGATTTCCTATACAAGCTACAAGAATATAGCAGAAACATATTAAACCAAACGTTGAGTTTTCAGAATTCTTTTGAACTTTGACATGGAAAACGTCTTTATGATACATCATTCCTAAATGTTCCAAAGAGTTTCCCCGATTTCTATGCACTATCTTTTAGTTTATTTTATCATCACTGATTCCACCCTGACCGTTTTGTCATTTCAATCCAAGTTCTCACTGAAGATACTGGTAATACACAATGATCTCAAACCAGGAAGAAATAATGATTCTTCCAATGATAACTCAAGCCGGACGGCACTAATATCATTGTCCTCTTCTTACAGAATCAAGTTCTCTAGGAACTCGGCAATTTTCTTTTTCCAGTTTGAGAAAAATATTACAGCCGATCCACTACTACGACCGCGACACTCTTCTCAAACTTCGAGAGAACATCAGTGGTTCCGTCGACGAGCTTCGCACACGAATTGCTGACATCGCCACGGAAATCCTACGCACACCTATATAACAACACGCGTTAATTACTTGACTTCACGTTATTATTCATATATAATCAGCGTAGTTCCTATTCTATGAGGCTCCTGAGTGTTCTCGTCCAGGACTTCTTCAGAATTCTTAGAAAACATTAAGGTAGAGTGTAGTTAATTCTAGTGATTAATCTTAACTTAAACCCTTAGCAACGGCAAACGAGCAGTTTGTCTCACTTTTGTTTGCAGTCACATGCACCCAGATCGCTCACATTTAATAGCCGGTATGCTATGTTTATTTCCGTGCCAAATTAGCTTTATGATATATGTAATAATATAAAATACACTTTGTATAGTAGGTATATGGCTTCAGTCCTAGATTTCTTAGCACCTATAAACACAAACTTTGCTAGACCATTATAATTTTATATTTGTGCTATACATGAACTCCGAACATTACACGATTGTCAAATGTAAATTAAAATAAATCAACATAACAGCCGTCTCGTATAAAATGTAGCAGATTGAAAAAAAAACAAGAGAGACAACAACGAACAAAGGAATCGAGATAGATTGACGAGCATAGAAAAAGAATAAAATAAACAAATTCTGCCAGTCATAAACTAACTCCAAACAGTCTAATTGTCCCATCATCCGAACAACTAGCCAGTAGCCACTCATCTGAGTTTGCTTCCAAAGTCGCCCCGGGGTTCCACGCAATGCAATTGATCTGGAAATCGGAATGAAAAAATTCGGACTTCAGATATTCCAACAGTGGGAGATTCCACCGCTTGAATCTTTTTAAATATTCTGGTTAGCGGTTTTAATTCTGATCTGAGAAATAATGCAATGTTGAATGGAAATCAAAGTGATGAACGTATTATAGCTCAAGTGTCTTTTTAACTTATGGAAATCCTCATCTAGTATCTTGCCAACGGATTACCGCCTCGTCATCGCTACGAGGTGTTCCAAGGTGTTGAGCTGCAATGTACAGCGGTGGGATTCATCCCCAAGCAGGGTCTCCCAAGCCGAAAAGAGGCGTTTCCATTAGCAAGCCCAGCTAAGAGTAAACCAATGCCAAGATCCACCACCGTCCTGGTACCAAACTAGTGGCATGGCAATTTCCCTGTGATCCACAACGATGGCGACTACCTGTGGTGGTGGCAACCTGCGCAGACTTTGGCTGGACTGACCTCGGTTTTCCAGGAAAACACGGTGGCTAAACCAGCAAAACTCCGAAAAACGGGGATGGTTCTGGGGCCCGCACAACGAGTGATGACAGGCCATCCAAGTATCCAAGTAAGATCTAGTACACTGTGCGGGAGAGATAAAGGTATAAGTAAAATGGATAGATTCCCAAACAATAATTCGGAAATTGTTGATGGAATGAAAAGAATGCATAATTAATAAATTAACAAGGAAACAAACTGAGGACTTTTGACCAAGTATTCTTTTCTTATATTCATTCTAAAGAGGTCAAATGTATTCCTAGTACTATGAAAGGATTTCTACGCGGACAACAAGATGAGCAAATAGTGTCCCTACATAACTGAATGGTTTCCATAACAGCAGCAAAACTACTACGATATCCAAGCGGTAATCAGTCTTTCCTGCGATTCACTAGCAAAACAATAACAAACAAATATTTTTGTTCTTTCGACATAACCACGGTGGAACCTCACCTAAGTCGCAATATTCAAAGCTGCAAATGGAAAATCTAGATGCATCGCAACAAGCAGTTATTTACATCATTCTCTTTGATGTGTGTTGGTAAAAATGTAGAAATTACAACTAACTTCATTTGCATTAGCATCCAATGCTGTCCGCTGGATCAAATGTTCATCGTGATCAGACCCTGCTACTTGAAAGATGCTAAAAAAGTTCTTAAAGTCGGGAAGTAGAAGTAAACTTTTTCTTTTAGAACGACGACAAGGAGAAATTAGGAGGAGGTATACCAGGTAGATCTTGATTTAACTAACCGTATAATGCTATCACCACCACCAGAAGCAATAAGACCTGTGGATGCATGCCATGAAACGGTGTACAGAGGCAGCCTTGTATCCTCAATCAGGAACTTCGCCACTGATACCCACTTGTCGTTAACTGCAGATTCTTGAGGAGAACTTCGCTTCCACAACTACAACAGGTACCAGAATTTTAAATCAGCCTGATGATAAAGTACTACCTGCTGGTTGAACCTTTAAACGAATACGAAGAGCTCAATAAACCTGTACAATGTGATCTTCACCTACAGTGACCAAACGATATCCATCTGTGTCGAATGCAGCACACCAGACCGTTCCGTTGTGAGCCTGTAGACAAGCGGTGTATCATTAAAGTACAAAGTACAATAAGAACGAAAGAACTGAGCTAGGAGATCCCACGAAACCTAATAGAAAAGAGCACCGTTTAAAAAAATAACAAGTATACCTCGGGAATCCTTTGTTGAGTTATCCAGTCATCGCCATCAAATTTATAAAATCCTATGGAACAGTCATAACTGCAGGACACTAGTAGCTAAACTAGAAAAATATTATAAGCACCCAGCCTTGCTTATGCACACTTATTTGACATGCCGTTAAATATTCCCAGTAAGCAAATAAAGAGACGCGTGTGTAGAGCAGTGGTCGAAAGCACCCTGCAATACACATGGGATCGATCTCCGCGCCCCTGGCCCACCAACCCCTCCATCCCTCCAGGGTCGGCAAAGTGGTACCAAACTTGTCCAGGTGGATAGCAACACTGGCTCGATACATCGGTAGGCCTCTGTGAGTCATTCTAAAGACCAGATATGCATTCGATCACCTTCAAACGATGCTCATTAAAGTTAAATGCATGAAGCATCCCTAAGGGAAAGATCTACGCCAACAGATTTATCGTTTATACTTCTTAAGTAATGAAGCTACTGATTCCATTGAAAAGCACCATGACTATAGCAAGGTATGCCAAGCGGCCTTGTTAGACACTGTCTTTTAAGATAAAACGATGGTTACCTCCTCAGAAGGATGCCATGCGACGAATTTAACATCCTGCGTGTGCGGTTGAAGAACAGACGAAACTTGAAAGTCCTCATCCTCGTCCACTGCAATTAGCAGCATTGAACAACTTCATATAACGAATAAATAATGATGGCGCTTACGTACTTTGCCAGAACCACACAGTTTTGTCGCGACTACATGTTGCAAGAAACTCATCACTTGGTGAAAATGCGCAGCATTTCACCTAGACTAAGCTGTTGTACGAAGCAGTGAACATTGTGAAGAACAAAAAGATAAAATCTCGCAACAGAATCAAAATGTTCCAAACCATGTATGGTCGTGACAGACTCACCTCACTTTCATGTCCTTCCAACTTGTTCGACTCCGTGAACTCGCCGCTTAAAAAGAACAATTTTAGGTAATGTGGTCACAGCATAGGAATGTCAAATTGTTTTCGTAAGCTGAAACATTCCGAAACGATGTAAGCAATGGCGTAGTTTTCATTCTCTTTAACAGTGCATGGAGGAACCAGTAACTGCTGCCTAAACTTCCAATCTTACAATTACAGGTGCGTGTTGCACAGTGGTCGGAGGCGGCCTGAAATACACACTGGATCGATCTCCGCGCCTCCTGGTTCACCAAGCCCTTCATTCCTCCGGGGTCGGTATAGTACCGGACTTGTCTGGTAGGATAGCAGCACTGGCCCGATACATCGGAAGATCACCGCGAGTCATCGTAAAGGCCAAATGCGCATTCAATCACCTCCCGCGATGCTTAATGAAGTCGGTTGCATTGCGCTTCCCTTCTTTAAACTTACAACAGATACTACCACTTCAAATGAGCATGAAGAACTTTCACGCTACATCTAACAGACACATCGAATAGCCCTCAAATGGCTACTACAAAGTGAATTTACTACAAAAAAATGGGAAATGTGGGGTCCTTAGTTGACAGCGCCATAATTGTCAGTACCACAAAAGTACAAGAATTACGAAACTAAAAGAAAACAAGTGTGATGACTTACTCCTCGCGACTATATATTACGACAGAAGCATCAAAGCTTGCCGATGCCAAATAACGACCACAATGTGAGAACTGAACACATCGAACGGCTCTCGAATGGCTATCGTCAATCTTCGTGCAGCACTCCAAATAGGGCGAACCTTCACAGGATTAAAATTGCCAGTGCAGTAACAATAGCAAAAAAATCTCACTTTCAGTTTTCCTCCATATTCGAACAGTTTTGTCATCCCCACAACTGGCAAGGAGAGAACCGTCAAAATTCCAGCTGAGCATCCACACTCTGCTGCCCACTGTTCCTTCCACAGTAGAATTAACATGTATCGTGGACAATTCTCTCATATTCGACATTCCTGGAAGTAAACACATAACCAGTCAACCAGCCTCGCGATTATCAGAGTAAAAAGAGTATTAAATTGAATCTATGACTGAAACAGTAGCTTCAAAATGCCACAGCGATAGAATATCACTTCTTTCTGCGCGACGTCCGTGATTGCGAACACTGCGGTGAAGTTTTCGGTTGGATAGTTATACTTACAGCACCGTAAATCCCATGTAGGGTCTAAGGTCAGCTTTGTACTTGGTTGCTGATGGTTTTTGCTCATTTGATAAGTTTTTCCGTTGCTACAAACAGTCGTTCTCCTCGGAAGGAAGGTAGAGCAGCAGTGCTGTCTGGCTGTTTTGGAATAGACATGGTGTTTCTTTGCCAAAATTGTCATGAAGCTCTTCCATTAGTTTGTCAGTTGGTAGTTGGATATAAGTCAATTCTTGTTTAGCACACAATTTGCCTACTTAGAAACACATTCGCCTGTAGCGCTGTGGTCGAAGGTGCTCCGCAATATACATGCCATCGTTCCCCGCGCCTCCAGGTTCATCAAGCCTTCCATCCCTCTGGAGTCGGCAAATTGCTACCATTCCTGTCTGGGAGGATAGCAGCATTGGGTCAAGACATCGATAGGCCACTGCGAGTCATTGTAAAGGCCAGATATGCATCCAATCACCTCTAAGGTTCTTAATGAAGTCGAATGCAAGGCGCATCTCCCCAGGATTGATCAACGCCAAGAGCTTTATCTTTTAGCTTATCCTTTTACAAATACATCGACACGGGTTCGAGGTTCTACCGTCTCCATCAAGTTACGATGAAAGTTACAAGTTAAGCTATCAATAAACCAAGGCACTGATATTGACGAAAGGTCGACAGGAATTGTATGTAGGTTTGCATGAGGTCGTCTGAATTCCCCACACTGACCAAAACCATCCATGTTAATTGAAGATTCCTGAAGTTATCATAGACAGTACCTAAATGAGATTGACTACGTGATCGTCAGTCAGAGACTTTTTGCGAACCGATATGTTGTTTCAAAGTTTTGCACGGAATCGAACCATCTCTTCCTTCGCGCATGGTTCCTTATTAGCATCGACGAGCGGGCTGGAAACCTTACGACATCATAATAAATGACATTACTAAGAGCGCAAAGAACGCCTTCTATTCCACACTTTATTTCCTGCTCCTCAAAAAGTGGAGGCTAGGTACTTAAATGATGCTGAGATATTTGCAAAACTCCGGACCGCAGGTGTCTGCAGTGGGGAACGAACCCGCTATTGCCCTTTCCGGGGAGTAACGCGTTTAGCACCACACCATGCTGGTCCTTCGTTTCGCTTGATACTGATGGCAAAAAATCGGTAGAACTAGCTGAGAGACAGGCGAAACGAAGGGCCCGCATGGTGTGGTGGTGAACGCGTTACTCCCCGGAAAGGACAATGGCGCGTTCGTTTCCCACCGCGGACACCTGCGGTCCGGAGTTTTGCAAATATCTACGCATCATTAAAGTTATATTTAGCAATATATACCCTGCCGTTAAAAAGAGTAGGCGGTAAATAATAAGTTAAGCTAAGTACTTAATCTTAACTTATTGTTTACTGCCTACTCTTTTTAACGGCAGGGTATATATTGCGACATATAAGTGCAGTCTCAGCTTAATTGGGTTCGTTGCCAATTTGGGCTCCCCAGATCAATCCCGCTGACGGGTGATTGCTGACGGCAAAACATCGATAGAACAAGCTGATAGACAAGCGAAACGAAGGACCTGCGGTCCGGTGTTTTGCGAATATCTCAACATCACTAAAGCGAAGTACTTATTTGGTTGCTTGGATAGCCCGTCCTCACTGGTTGTGCGTGCCCCAGCATAATTTCCATAGTTTGGCGGTTTTTTTGGTTTGGCTATTGCTGTTCTCTGAAGTCCCGAGGTTAATCTGGCCAAGGTTTGGCCCAGGTTGTCACCACCACAGACAGTCGCCGCCCTTGTGGATCAGAGGGGGATGGCATCATGCGAGTAGCTTGATACCAGGACGGTGGTGTCTCCTTGTATTAGTTTACTGTTAGGTGGACTTCTTGTTAGCTTGGTAGACACTACTGGGAGTACTGATCCCCCTTGTATATCGCAGTCCGACACCCAACAACACTTTCCACCCACGATAAGTCGGTAAACCATTGATAGGGCAGGCTCAGTAAACAAGAAAGAAGTATGAATAATATTGTAAAATAAGTCTTACGTGCTCCTGCCAGGACTTATGTTGGAATCATCAGTTCTATCTACGTTGACGGCATGAAATCAGGTAAATTGTCGCGTAAACCATCATGATCAACTAGGCCTAATCCGTCTGCATGTAACTTCTATACTGGTATCTTCACCAGTTGGTTTCTCTATGATGTCAATTTCATGGTTACCGATCCATGAGATATACTTGCTGAGACTCTGAACGAAAACTACGTACCATAATTTTAACTTATTACTTGCTGCCTACTCTTCTTAATGATGAGGTATATTGCGGGTAGCATCAATGATGAGATATTTGCAAAACTCCGAACCGCAGGTGTCTAAGGTGGGGAACGAACGCTCTATTGCCCTTTTCGGGGAGTAACACGTTCACCACCACACCATGCAAGTCCTTCGTTTCGCCTGTCTCTCAGCTTGTTCTATCGACCTCGGCTATCAGCAATCACCCGATTTGGGCTTCCTAGATCAATCCCGCTGGCGGGTGATTGTTTATGGCAGAGATCGAGAAAACTAGCTGAGAGACAGGCGAAACGAAGGACTTGCATGGTGTGGTGGTGAACGTGTTACTCCCCGAAAAGGGCAATAGAGCGTTCGTTCCCCACCTTAGACACCTGCGGTTCGGAGTTTTTGCAAATATCTCATCATCATTGAAGTTATGTACCATAATGTATATGTATACCTACGAACTGCCCTTAGAGGAATTATGCGAGGTTGGTATAAGTTGCTGTTAGTGTTCTTGCTGTGTTTCGATGTCTGATGTTTCGACCAGTCCACCTTCTTCAGTGCCTTCGCTGTCAATTAGTTCGCAACCGCCTCCATGGTTGTTTGTGCAGCTCAGAAAACTGTATGATCTGCCCTAACGGGAGAGACGGGGATCGCATGAGTTCATGTACAATATAATTGATCTCATGGGGGAAGAATACATTGGGAAGACGGGTGGACCACTTGGTGTCTGTATAAAGGAACATCTAGATGGGAAAGCTAGAATTGGCCAAAGTACTCCTATAGGTATGCATAGGGCACAAATGCACAATAGTGATGATCTTGAAGTGACTGCTCGCATCCTGGATTTGGAGTGAAAAACGTCAACGCGCAAGTCTCTTAAGGCGTTCTAGATGAATTTCGAAAATCCAAAGATGAACCGGAAAGACGAATGCATCACTATCACACGTGACCTGGCGCCTTTTTGCACGTGAACAACAAATGTGTGGTCCTACTCGCAAAAGCACGATGAGTAGTTCTTGAACAAAATTGCGTTCATTAATACTTTCGATCTTCATTAGCACTGTACATTTTTCACTGAATTACAAGGCTGTCGTTATATAAAATTCGTCCAGGTTCTGAGGAAGGCGAAATCGCCGAAGCATCAGCCATCGAACAGCAACAGCGATAACAACAGAAACATCTATACCAACCTCACGTCGGCTAAACAACGGCAGTTCCTAGAAAGTATATATGCGCATATCGATCATTTATCACAAATGTTTTAGAAAGTCGATCGTCACAATATTTTAACGTTTACTTATTGCCTATTCTTCAAATAGATGGGTATTATATGCTTTCTGATTGAAAAGTATTTGATTCCCCCGTATCCCTCAGATTAATGGAACCTCATGGATAAATCTGGCACGCTACGCACGAATAGGGGGTTTATTACCAACCTCTCAAGTCACTGAATGATCAACACGAGAAGTGTAACGATGTACATTATTTAACTGGTGTCTTCAAAAATGGTACAAGGATAAAGAATGGCGTACTGTATGTTGAGCAATTCCTTAGGGATGAATCCAGAACCGTTATGAATCGTATCAGTGACAGAATCAAAAAATATTCCCTTTCCGGGAGCCTATCCATATGCCAAATCAGTGTTTCCTAACCTCCCAGGCAAGTATGGTAGTTTTCACTGCTATTGATTACTTTCTGTGCCTATGTTCCACAAGTCAGTTTCAAATTTTATAGACGAAACTACTTTGATAACTCTTAGATTTTGATGTCACGGATTTCGGTTTGTCAGTGATGCTCTCCGAAACGCGGCCCATCCTTGAACACCATCTGATGAAGGCTCTACAAAATATCATACTGCCATTCCTTAAATCTTCATCGCGAGAGTCAAAATATTGGCGAGTTCTCCTGACAACTAACGAAATAAGACCAAACAATAAGAATCGTCCTAAGTGTTCTTGTTGAGCTGACGCGAGATTGCTAGCACGTGTTTTAGAGATTTGATGGCTGAATTTCCGACTATTTCTCTTTCAAATCCTAGAAGCACCATAGAGCTATATTTCATTATTCAATGGATATTCCTTGCTCTTAATAAAAACTCCATCTATAACTCAAACCAAATGTTCGCCTGTCATAAATGACTTGCTGTTTCCTTCTTCAAAGATGAAAACCAACATGCATGGCTCGCAGAGTAAGGCCACCCATATGTGGCACACGAAAAATACGATACACGTTACTTTAAAAAGGATAAAAGGTTAAAGCTCTCGATCAATCTCTGAAGGATGCGCCATGCATTCGACTTCATTAAGCATCGTTGGGGGTGACTGAATACATATCGGCCCTTTCAATGATTCAGTAACTCACCAATGTATCGAACCAGTGCTGCTATTCTCCCAAGGGATGTATGGTTTGATGAGCGATGGGCACGAGGTTCGATCCTATGTGTATTGCAGGGCTCCTTAGTTTACCTTCGTCTATGTTTATTATTGCTATTTATTACATCATCAGACATCACATGTATCATACTCTGTCTATCTCCGCACTTCTTGAATTCGATTTGTTTTTTGGCTC